GAAAAACCCAACCCGGAAAACGCCAGCCGGGGAGCCCTGGCCTGGGAGGAGAAGCAGCTCCCCCAGCCCGTCCCAGGCGGGCCCCGCAAGGGGGCACAGAGCAGACCCTGGCGTCCGGCCTGTGCCCGGTGTTGGCCGGGGTCAGCCTGACTGTGCCCCGCCTGCCCCGCACCCGGCTCCGGGGTAACCGCGTTAACTCCTGCTCTCTTTTCTTGCCCCCTGGTTGTAAACGCTCAGAAACCTTCGGTAAGTCTGACTTCGTCACGTGTCAACCACTAACGTCCCTCCCCTTGTCCCCTCCTGCCCTCCCAAACTAACAGCCACCCTGACAGTAACCGTGTCCCACTTGGCGTGGCATCTATACTAACAGCCTCCCCACCCCCACGCCGGCCGCCCGTCCTCCGCAGCTGGACCCCAGCTGGCTGCAGAGAGAGGACCCCAAAAGGAAAAGAAGAAAAGAGAGGCCCGTGAGGAGCCAGGCCTCAGGACGAGCCTGGAGAAGCTCACGCCTGAGGCTGCTGTCCTGTCCTGGAGACTAGTGACAGGAGTCTGGGGAGGAAGGGGGCCATTTTCCGTCTGGGCCAGTCCCAGGCCTTTCTCACTCACGCTTCCCAGCGTCCAGCCTGAAGCCGTGGCTGCGCTAATTCTTACTAGGTTGAGAGTGGCTGATACCGGCCCATGGTAGCCGTCCGGTTTTCTTCAGGGTGAGAGGCAGGACGAGGCTTAACAGCAGGACGAAGAGATACGCCCTTCTGGCTCGATAGAGTGGCCGTGGGTGAGGTGGCCCTGGGGGGAAGCCCGGGCCTTCAGGTCTCATCTGTGCACAGTGAGAAGCCCACGGCAAGGGCCCAGACCCCAGCTCTTCGCGGTCGACCTCGGGCACACTCCCGTCCGCGCCTGTGTAAAGCAGGGTGGCCTCCCTGGTCCAAGATTCCCGGGAAGATAATCGGGTGAGGCCTTCAGGCTGGGCCAGGGCCCACCCCCGCCTCTTCCTCGGCGCCCTCTGGGCCTCGGTTTGCCTGCCTGTCGACGGGCCTGGGCTGTGCAGGGAGCTGTTTTCTCACCTCCCCTGTCCTGGTCTTGGGGTTCTTCTGTCCCCCAGGAGCTGAGTGTGTAAGACCCAGCCCGGGGCCGCCCCGTCCCCGGGACCCCAGATGGACAGCCCGCCTTTCCCTCTTTTCCTTTTGGCGTGCAGGAGGCCCCAGGGCTGCCCCTCGTCCTGACCC